CACGAGCGGAAGGGAGAGGTCTTGAGTTTTAGGGGGTTCTGCTAGTTTGGGTTTTGTTTTTTCTCACTGGGTTTCTCTGTAGATGGTCCAGCTCACGCTGAGCAGGTCTTGAAGACTGGGGATGCTCTGGCCAGCACCAGCCGGGGGCAAGTCCTGGTACCTCTAAGCCACGTGTAAATATTACAAGTCCCAGACATCACAGATTTGGCCAAATCCCAAACTGGGAAACACAACGTTTATTTCTACAAAAGGGGAAAAGGAGAAAAAGCAATCTGGGTTCTCCTATTTCCCTGGACCTCGGTCTTCCGGCTGCCACCCCTGCCCTGCAGGGACAGTCTGCAGGTACACAGCCCTGCTGGAGAGAGCGAGGACCCCGCCAGAGGCCATGCGAACAGCTTTGGGGGAGTTTTTGCTCGAAAAGGGCTAGACAAATGCACACTTTCTTATAATTCAGTGACGGGCACTGAGCACAGAGTCAGAAATAAATAAATTTGCAAAGTCCTTTGAGATCAGAATATGATACATGGAGGTGGGACGTGGGCTCCTAATTTGATGGTACTAGAATTTTCCAATAGGAACCACTTCTTGAAATAAAATCATGTGTGCAACCTATCTTTGTATTGAGATATAGTCTCGAATCATCCCTTTCCGTGGGTTTAAAAGAAAATGTTTCAAAGATTTTTATTACCACTCCATTTGACATGCACAGTCTTACAGTATTTTCCTAAAGCACAGAATAACAACGTCTAAGCGTCCTAAATTCCAGGAAAACGGCAAGCTTCAGAGGAAATTATTAAACCAGTGATAATTTTCTTCACTTCTGCTTCCTGTTAAAGTCTTAAACCCTGACTCCCTCTCCTCTGTCTTGAGTGGGCTTTGTTATGAAACAGAAAACTTTTCATTCTACATAGTCTCTTACGCCTTTCTCTGAGGCATTTTCAATTTAAGAGGAAAAAAAAGCATACATTTTTATAATCACACATTCACTTAGCCACTTAGGGCCTCTTTGGATATTATTTTAACCGACACTGTAGAAGATTATAAATGCAATGACCGTGGTACAAAATTTATAAATACATAGTACAAAAAAGAATCAATCATTATATTCCCTCTTGGATGTTACCACAGTTTTTCTAGAGACACATAAATGTTATACAAAGGTATATTTTACATGTACAGGTGACACATACATTAGAGACTTGGGTAGACTTTTTCTACATCATCTGTATCTATATATCTGTATCTCTCTATGAAGCCCCTGGTTGGTGCAAACAGTTAGATGCTTTACTATTAGCCAAAAGGTTGACAGTTCAAACCACAGAGAGGCACCCTGGGAAACACGCCTGGCGATCTGCTTCTGAAAGGTCACTGCCTTGAAAACCCTGCGGGGCAGTTCTACTCTGCACACATGGGGTCGCCACGAGTGGTCAGAATCGACTCGAGAGCAGCTGACAATACTTTTCTCCTCCAAGCTCCCTGATGAAACCCAGGCTGGCTAAAATGCCAGCCTTCCCCAGCAGGTGGCGCCATCTAGACTCAGTTCTCCCCTGGACGTCCAGGCAGAAAAATGCATGGTGCCATCCACTCCCCCTCTTTCCTCATTTAATGTTCTACTCCACCTTCCCTCTCCTCCTCATCTCCACATCGTTCAGCCTTGGCTCCCTTCCATCAGTCTTTAAATGAACACAGTTTTTACTTTTGATTGTTTTAAAATCTACTGAACGTGACAAAAGATACTAACTGGCTTTTCAAACAAGCATAATTGTTATCTGTTCACTCCTTCATTTTCCTTGACATTGAATTTCCCAGCACTTAAAAACGTTTTTGTCTTATATTTGAATATACACTTAGTTTACTTAAAAATCTTTTCAAAAAAGTATCATTTGGCTGAGTCATAGCTTCCACGCCTCTTCATAAATAAGAATATTCCACGGCATTTTTAACTATGGCAAAACTTTGCTAAGAAATTTTGCTTTTTCCTAAAAGAATACTGTAGGAAAAATAGGACACATTAACCATATACATTTTCATTTAGACTTTCAGCAAAATCATAAAACCTATTAATGATTTCACCTTAGTCAATTTAGAAAAGAATCCCTCAATGCCATAACATACGGTTCAAAGGGCAGTTTTCTAAGCATGGGAAACCCTTCACCACAACATTTCGTGGAGGTAACGAACACGTGGAAAGAAGGGCTGTACTGCGATGGGGTGAAGTCCTTCTGGGAACCCAATCAATTCCTAATCTCATCTGTCACTTGAAGGATTGAAAGCCACAGTGCATTTTTGCAGAGCTGGGGAAAAGATTCCATGTTGGGGCAGAAATCTCAGTCAATGAGATACCAGTGATAGGCACGGGCCGTCAGAGAGATGCAGCCCAGAATCTGAGCGGCAGCTCAAATGCTGGAGATAAAGCTGTTACATCAGAGTGAAGTCAGTCTCAGACTAAAATTTCTTTACCCCCATTGCCAGTCGAGTCAATTCCGACTCACAGTGACCCTACAGGATGGAGCAGAACTGCCCCATAGGATTTCCAAGGCTGCAATCTTCACGGAAGCAGACTGCCACATCTTTCTCCCTTGGAGTGGCTGGTGAGTTCAAACTGCTAACCTTTCGGCTGGCAGCCAAGCACTGAAGCACTGCGAGGCCAGGGCTCCTTAAAGTTTCTTTAGCCAAGGCTAAGGTTGCATTAATGCAACTTCCCCACTTTGCCTTCCCAGGTCATCTGGGTCCCACCAGGAGATTCTGAGTGCTTAGGTCTTAGGCCAGACCCTGGGGATTATTATTATCAGGGGAGCTGGGAAGCATGGATTTCTGCCTGCACGGTGTTCTTTCTTTGTACCTTTGCTGTGCTCGATCACACTTGCAGGATAAAGCAGTAGGATGGGGCTCCATGATGAAATGGTGCAGCAACAGGAAACGGTGAAAAAACCCGTGACACTTTTGTTTGCCCATGTTTTGTCTGATTTCATGCTGGAAATGCTCAGAAGCCACAACAGTTTGCTTCTGTAAGTTGCCATGGTTACTTACCTTCAAGTGCACCCCGACGCATGGCTACCCCCGCACATGAAACGCTGCAGGATCCTACACCAGCCCTACTATCGCCTGCAGATCAGACCGCTATTATCCATAGGGTTTTCATTGGCTGATTTTCAGAAGTAGATTGTCAGGCCTTTCTTCCTAGTCTATCTCAGTCGGGAAGCTCTGCTGCAACCTGTTTGGCATCCTAGCTCCCTCAAGTACCAGGCAGCCAAACTGAGCAATCAGACAGCAGCTAGCATAATGCCTGGCATAGAGTAGGTGTCTGATAAATACCAGCTACTGACCAATGCATTCCCCTGGAGAAAGTGGCTGAGTTAACAAGCACACACGGCTCACTGCCTCCTAAAAGGCCCCTCCAATTCAGGAAGAGGACAGAAGACACAGCACTGACCCATGACAGGAGAAAAAGCCAGGCTGGGAATTTAGTACCTGGAGTAGAAGCCAGTGATCAGAGAGGCAATGAATACATAGCTCCTAAATTATAGGCACCTTTAAGCTGCAACATGTAAATACAGAAGCTGTAAAAAGCACTTCAGTAGCCCTCAGGGCTGCAAACATCCAGAGAACCAGAACCTAAAAGAATTTGCTAACATTGATGCAATGTAGGAATTACATTTAAGAATGCATCTCCATTAATCCTTACTCTAAGCAAAATACTTCCTTTATACCCTACTTGAAGGAGCCCTGTTGGCGCGGTGGTTAAGCTCTTGGCTGCTAACCAAAAGGTTGGCAGGTCAAACCCACCAGCCACTCTGTGGGAGAAAGACGTGACAGTCAGCTTCTGTAAAGATTACAGCCTTGGAAACCCTATGGGGTAGTTCTACTTCGTCCTGCGGGGTCATCAGGAATTGGGCTCAACTCAACAGCAATGACTTTGGTTTGGTTTAACCCTTACTGGACATAAAAATATTTCTAGGATACTTTAGAAAATAGCATACTGTGATCTAAACAAATACTTCTGCACGTTTACAGTAAATTAAAACCGAGAGACAGGGAGAAAGCGAGAGAGACAGAGAGAGTGTGAGTTTCGGGTTCTATGTCCCTTCCTCAGTGGTCTGCTCCCAACGACAGGCCGATCCTGAGTCTGTAAGACCCTCAGCAGCTGCAGGGCCAACCGCAGTGCCCAGGGAAACTGAGAAAGACCTTGCTGGTAGTGGCTTTCAGCTGGCGGCCCAAAGGGCAGTGTCTTCATACTACACCCACACCTGGTGGGGCAGTCTGGGTGAGGGGCTCGCCTACCAGAGGCTCTGGGGAGAAGGGTGGAGGCAGTTCTGATCCCCCAGGGTAGACAGAAGCTTCCTAGTGGCCTTCACTTCCCTGCAGAGCCACCTGCTTCCAGCTGCACCATGTAAAGGCCATCCTACTTGGAGGACACCCTCTAGCTGGATGTCTTTCTAAATCCACCTGAATTGCCCTCAAGGCCGGGCTTCTAATGGCATTCTGTCGGAACGGTCGTGAATTCTCAGACTGTTAGCCCACGTCCAATGTGCGTGCAAGACTGCACATCCAAACGTTATAAAACACGTTATAAAAGGCGTGTTGGATATGGATTTTGTGCTGCTCTCCTAGGCCTCCCTCCTGACATCACATATCACCTACTCGGTGCATCCCTGCTGCCTGTGTGGGGCCATGCCTGGAGCCGACAAGGACCTCAATAAACGTGTGAATCAACACACAGAAGAATCAGCGTCCAGCAGGTCTAACCTGACTCAAGGGGCTTTTTCTGTTTTTGCAATTTCCTATCGTGGCTCTGCGGCAAGACTAGGGGTGGGCGCAAGGGACTCATTGAACACTCCACTGTCTCAGCTGTGCAATTCCTACACGAAGACCCTGCAGACGGGCCAGCCATGTTGACGCACGTGGAAGACGCAGAGTCCCTGCCTACGCATGCAGGTGAAATGTGAATACCGGAGTTAGGAAGGGAATAACCACATGCAGCTGCCAGTAGCCTGCATCACCTGATCTTGGGATTTCTTCTTCTTCTTCTTCTTGCCCCAGCACCCGGAACTTTCCGCGTCCTTGCCGTTGGCCTCGCCACAGAGCAGCCCGTCCAGCTCATCCGTGCCCATGTGCTGTCCCTGAGTCGTTTCTGCTGCCAGCCGGTACGAGAGGTTCCTTAAGATGCACACACAGTTTTCAACGGTCTGGAGGACCCCGAGAAAGGGAAAAAAGGAACACAAGGGAGGAATTCATAAATGCTTACCAGCACTGTGCCGCCTTAGAAAAGCATTCAGCGGACACACACACACTCTCGCACACACACACGCTCACACGCGTGCACGGGCACACACGCACACATGTTCCTCTTTGGATGCATTTAACTTCTGGTTTGTAAAGGCTCCCCTGGTACCCATAGTGGAAAGAATTCAGAAAACTTGGAAGGTCTGAAGACCTCTTCTCCCCCAAAGAAACTATGTATCAACAACAGTTACTTCTATAAACATCTATCATTGTTGACTGAAACGCACTTGCCAGTGGGGAAAAAAGGCAACCACAAGATGTTGTGAACGTCCCTCCATGCACAGACGACTCCTGCTCGGGCACTGGGGCTTGGAGTCACGGAGAGGAGGGGTCATCTCATTTCACTCAGCTCTGGGTAGGTGACGTTAACATTTGTCACCCACCAGGACACTTCCTGGGAGGAAAAAGGGGCAACAGGTACAAACTAGGCTGCCCCAGGCAAGCCAGGGCTGTGGTCACACAGGGGCATCAAGGTTTTAATCTCACTGTGTTCTTTTGAGATGGCCGAGGCTCCTGTTTTCATCACAGAGGAGTCAGACAGAGGTTAAGGGCGCATGTTGTAAAGCCTCGGGTGGGTGACTGATTAGCTGTGTTACTTTGGATAATGCACTTAACCTCTCTGGATCTCAGTCTTCTCCTCTGTAAAGGGACATGATTATAATAGCCTGTGCATTTTTTGGGGTGCTGTGAGGATTAGGTGAGCTAGTACATGTATGTGTGGGAGGCAGAGGAACGCCCCTTCAGAGATGTCCACGTCCTAATCCCTGGAACCTGTGAATACGTTTCAAAGCAAGAGGGGCTTCAGGTGGCAGATGGAAGTAAGGCTGCTCTTCAGATGATCTTGAGACAGGGAGATGAACCTGGATTATCGGGTGGGCCCAGTGTAATCACAGGGTCCTGACAGGTGGGAGAAGGAGGCAGGAGAGTCAATGTCAGAGTTATTTGATGTGAGAAGGACTTTGTGATGGTAAACGTTATGTGTGAACTTGGCTAGGTCATGTTTCTCAGTGGTGTGGCAGATACTATGTAATCACCTTCCATGTTGTGATCTGATGTGAGCAGCCAGTCAGTTGGATGGGGAGTTTCCTTGGGGGTATATATAAATGGATGTTAATTTATATTTATATACAAAGTTTGCTCGCTGTCTTTCTGGATCCCGCTCTCTTCTCATCACCTGACCTCCAGTTCTTGGGATGTAAGCCTGCAGAAGTCTCTGGCATGCCATCTGACCTGCAGATTTTGGATTTGCCAACCCCTGCAACCTCATGAGCCAGCAGAGGCCTCCAGCCTGCTGCCTGACCTGCA